GAGAGGTGGAGGGATGGCGGTGGTCAAAGCTCTTCCATGCCCCATTTGTTTCTGCTGTGGGACGAGTGCAAGAACATTGTATTTAATGAGGCTCGGTTTAACCTCCAGCTGTGAACACAGGCTTAGTCATATTCTGTGCTTAACCAACTTTTTAATAATTTTATTGGAAGCCACTTTTATCCATTTATGGAGCCAGAGATTGAAAAAGGCCAGTTAATCACAGTATGAAAAGCTATGAAGTGGTAATATCATATAACTTTGTAATGCATAAAGAGGTGCAAATCACACAGACCTCAATGGTTAAGACTGAAAAAATTCAAAGAATGGTACAGAAAAGCTAAGGATTAGCTTGAAAGAATTCAAGATGAACATTTCCAATAAGTTCAATTATTAATTCAATTTTAATTTGAGAGAAATTCAAGATCAACAATGTGAAAAGAATTCAGGGGAATGTACAGAGAAACATCAATCTCTGCTTTTTCATGCGCAAAAGAATTTTAATCCTTGTGATGTGTCTCACTGACAACCTTAGACACTGAAGTTGGCTAACCATGTGTCCCTACAGTCTCTCTCAGATGTCTCAGCCTTGACCAGGAGAGATGTCCGATAGGGCTGGGAAGAGAGCAAATTCCAAAGCTGGTTGAATTTTTATCATTGGTACATTTCTTTTAAGGGAAAAATTGCCTTTTTGACCAAAATAAACATTGTTGTGGAAAATTTCATTGTTTTTTCAATTAAAAATGAATTGAAATTTTTGGTAAGAATTTTCATTTTCCAGTTTGGCTTCCAGGACAAATTTTTGCTTTTTGAAAATGATTTATTTTTTTTTACCAAAAATGGTTTTCAAAATGAAGAATTCTTAGCTTTCCAGTTTGGATTTTTCATAAAATAACAGCAACAAAAACCTTAAGAGATCTGTGGGAAACTAACAAAAAAAAATTTCAAAATATCCCATGAAAAATCATGATAATTTTTTTGGCCAGCTCTAGCTAATTTTCTCTGGCCATTCAAGCCCCAGTTCAGTAAAGTACTTAAGCACATGAAAAACTTTAAGCACTTTAGTAATCCTATTGAAGTCAATGGGCTCAATTCTCCCCTGCATCTGAGCTCGGGTTAGTGCATGTAGACATGGTCCCAGCTTTAGTTAGAACAGCTGAGGGGTTGGTCTAATTTACACCAGTGGAGAATCAGCTCTACTCCTTCTGGCCTTGGAATCTATGCTCCTGCCCCACCACTGCCATATCCATCCCTTTCCCAGCACACCCCCATACGGGGTTTGGAGACCAACTTAGCACAGGTGCCAGTTTCACTGCTTCTGTTGAGCTTAGGGTGATCAGATGACAAGAACAAAATATCGGGACACATGAGGGGCCGCCACCGAAGCAAAAAAAAAAAGCCCGAGTGCCGCCAGAGTGGAAAACATACATCAGTCAGGATGCGGGACAAACAACTAAATATCGGGACAGTCCCAATTTTATCGGGAGGTCTGGTCACCCTAGTTGAGCTGATACTTGTGAGCTGTTCTCCTCTGCAAGAGGAATTCTCCAATGACACTTTTTGGCCGGTATTGATCCACTTTGCCCCACCTGAGTGGCCAAAGGAGACTGGAGATTGTGACCCAATGAGACTACTCCCAGGCTTAAAGTTATACATGTATTTAAGCACCTTGCTGAATCGGTGCCTCAGTCCTTGGCTTCTCCATGAGTTTGCCAACAAAAGGGGCTGATTGCGGAGCTGACTGTTGTGCTGTAGACACCTTCCACTGGTCTGAGACTCACTGCATACAAGCCACAGATCAGCCGCTGAATGGCAGTGGAAACAACTCCTTTTTGTATTTTAATACTTATGGATGTAAGAGACTAAAAGCTCTGGATCTGAGCCCCAGCACCAACCTCAGCTGTTCCAGTCTTTGGTCTCTCTCTCTCTTGAGCAAAGATTGCCAGTTGGGTGATTATAATTATATACTGTATTTTCATTTGAGCTGATTACTTGAGCCTCACATGAGCTATTGGGCTGATCTTTCTCTGCTGGTATAAAAATGAAAAGACAAGACAATCATTCTCAAATGTTAATGATGGATTAAAGCTCCCTGTCTCAGTTTCTACAGAGGACAGAGAGCATTGTAACTGGCACTGTTTTTTATTGCTTATACCCCATGGAGATGCCGATAACAAATATTTTTACAATAGAGTTTTACATGCTGAAATCTTCTGCTAAACCTCTTGTTAACAATCTCCTGCTATTCATTAATGCTTCCCCACAGCATTCTCTCTCCTCTGTCAATTAAGAACTCAAATTTTCATCACTTTAACCAAATGACATCTGCTGCTTTGCTTCTTCAAATCTTCATTTACCACTCCCTGTCTAAGCAAAAGCCAGAGAGATGTACAATCTGAAATCTACCGGCTTGATTCTGTTCTCACATCAGTTTTTGCACCTATTGACACAAGAGGAGTTACTCCTGATTTGCTGTTGCGTAAGGCCAAGATCCAGCCCTATCTTAAAAATCTAAATACACACTCACAAATAAATTCTGTATTTTTCATTGAACCTCAGCTGTTTCCTGTGCCATTTTTTCTCAAAAGCCCCTCCTGCATCTCGTTCCCACAGTTGTCATCTTGTTCCAGAATAGAGAAACAGAAAAGGATTTGGGGTGTGTCACCTGTGAAATTAACTTGAGCTTCCCCAGTTGCCTACTGGATAGGGACTCAGGAGACCTGTGTTGTTCTTCCCGGCTCTGCCACTGGCCTGCTAGGTGACCGTGGGCAAGTCAGGTTACCTTCTGCATTTCTGTTTTCCTGTCTGTAAAATGGGGATAATAATAGCGACCTTTTCTGAAAAGCACTTTGAGATCTGCTGATTAAAAGTGCTATACATGACATAGAAGATATTAAACAGAGGGGTCTTTAATTTCATCCCTTAACTTTCCTTTCATCTGCAGTATTTTGAGAAGTTTCTCTTCTTTAAAAAGAAGGGTTTAATTACTGGCATTTAAAAATGCAGCTGCAAAGCACTGAAGGACTGCCTTGAAGCCAGATAAAGATGTGCAACCTCCATTTAGGTCCTGACTAAGGATGCTGATGGTTTCAGCTACTGGAAATACCAGAAGCAATATGGCCAACATTGTTTGTGCCATTTTACGTGTGCTGGTGCTTTGTGGCCAGAGTATACAATCCAGGGGATTGCTTCTTGTATTCAGATCAGAGTGGCTGTGACCGGGTTTTTTTTACCTTTCTGTGCAGCACGGAGTGCAGGTCACTTGCCAAGATCATCTGAGTATATCTCATTTAATCCATTCCATGCCACTGCGGAGGCCTTGGGCACTGGTGCACCTCGGGCCCGTCTGTTCTCTGCTGGTGGCACATTGTAATTTAATCTCCTGTGGACTGTAATACTTTAGACTAATTTTGATTGTTGGGATTAGTGCGCAGGTGCTGTGTGCTATTAGTGGTCTGTGATGTACAGGAGGTCAGACTAGATGATCTGGTGGTTTCTTCTGACCCTAAACTCTGTGACTCTGTTAATCTGGATTTGAGAGCATTACCCTACTGACAACCCTGGCCATCCATACAAGAGTGCATGTGTGTCAACTCCGGCCATCCATACGCGTGTGTGTATGTGAGAGAGTGAGAGACAGAGATCAATTTCAGTGGGAGTTGGATGGCTAAATACTCTAGACGGCTTTGAAGATCTTACCCATATTATGTATGTTCCTTGTATGAAGCTAGCTGAAAACTTGTATGTAAAGCTTCTGTCTCAATCATCAAATTAAGTCTATTCCAGTCAAAACTGTATTCCTAGGGAAGAGTCTCATCCCCCTCCACACCCTTAATGTTGGGTAAAAGGGCTGGGGTGGTGTTGAGGACCCATACAAGCTCTGTATTGAATTCTTCTGGAGAATTCTTCTGGTGCAAACAATATGGAAAATAGCCATAAGACTGTCTTCTGAGCACCTCCTCACAAGCGCTGGCACAGAGGGCGTGCAGGGAGGAGCAGAGCTGAAGGTGGGAAGGGCATGTTGGGAGTGGGGTCACAACACTTAATGCTGCAGGGATTCTGGGCAGTGCTGCAGTCCATAGGCAATTGGGGATAGGTTGCTTAGATAGCCACCCAAGATGGTCTATGTTGCTCTAAGGGCTGCAGAGCAGCCCAGGATCAAGAGGGTGCAAAGGTGGCATAACGCTACCTAATCACACTCCTTGCAAGAGGCGCAGCACAGAATGTCGTCCCTTGTTCTTGTGGTCAGGCCTAGTGATGAGAGAACATGACCAGGAGGCAGAAATTCTTGGTTCTGTCACCCGCCCTTCCGCTGACTTGCTGTGGATCCTGGATGATTCATTTAAGACCTTTTTTTCTGATTTTACTTACATCAGTGTAAATCAGAAGTCACTCGACTGAAGTCAATGATGTAATGCTGAGTTTAATCATGCTGAATATTCTATTACGGCACAGGTCTGGCTATTGAATTAAAGAGGTGTTCTTGTGAGATAAAGTGTTATTCAGTACAAGTAAGGGTATAACAATTTGGCCAATTTTGTCTGAGGTTCGCCATCTTTAAAATAGGGATATTAGCCTATTTATGCTTATTTGTCTGATAAGGAGTTCTGTGAGTCTTAATTTATCAATATTTATAAAGGTCTTTGAGTTCAAATATTATCTTGCAAAACCTGAATGTTAAAAAGGTCCTATTTTAGTAATCTGTAATAAAGATTAAAGTTTACCATGACAATAAAGTGTCTTTTATTTTAATTACGATTTAAGTTGTATAATATTCTTTTGTTCCCTCCTAGCTGACTGACCGCAACAGCTTGCCAAGAAATTTAATTAAGGTAGCGAGATCTAATACATTTATAAGCTCTGAGCTTTTTGGATCTGTGGGACTGCCTCTGAGTATTGGTGGTGGCTGTTTGGTGCACTGGTGGATCTTTCTTTCAGAGGCTCATGTTGGCAATTTCCATTTTTAATCATCTGAATGTATTAAATGTACTCCTAATTATTTGTAACTTCTGCTCTGCACTGGTAATAAAGATATGGGTAAGTCTGTCAAAACTCAGACTGTACTATCAAAAATTACTATTCAAATCAAAGCCATTTGCCAGTGCGAGGAGCTCACAGCTAAATGGCTTCTGGACCAGTGTGTGTCTGGAATAATAGCAAAAGCTTTCAAACTAAATCTTCCATTTAATTACCCAGATGCAAACAACTGATGGTTGAGTGTCAAAATTGAGGCAGTTTCAATTACTAGAACAATTATGGTGCAGTGAATTGCTGCCAGTAGGTGGTGAAGTATATACACCACAGCAACAGGCAGGTGACTTAGATAATGTATTGTACTACTGTCCATAAGCACATTGCCCGCACCCTAAATTAACACTTAGAATAATCTACAGGCTTTCCTCAGTAAATTGCACCTAGACACTGCAGATGACAACATGTGTTTCCAGCTTCTGATATCCTCCACCCTCCTTTCAGCTGTCAAATTTGAAGGAACTCGCTCCCCCCCCCCCCCAGACTGCCCAGTTTTTCACCAGCCTCACTTGTCTAATCTGCTTCCTAACCTGTGTCCCCAGATATGAGCTCATTCCTACCTCCTCCCAAGTTTCAGGGATCTTTGCACTAAAACATAGACATGTTCTTTCACCCTCTTTTCTACCTAACCCTAATTCTACCTGTCATCCTCACACACACTGAACTCTGGCCCCAGTTCCACCAACCTCCTATATGTTGGTTCCCACCCAGCTGTACAACCCAACCTCCCCCCAGCTGCCTCCTTTACCTACTTGCACAAGAGCCTGAGCTAATCAGCTTCTGATTTACCCCCATCTCCCCTACTTCTTCCACAACTGAAATCAGAGTGCTTCCATATACCCAGCCAATCAGGATTCCAGCACTCAGAATGCTAACTTTCCACGTGTCTCCTACCTGAAGCCTATGTGGCGTTCTAGACCTTTAGAGTGAAGCCAAAATAACCAGAGTGAAATTAGCCCCTATGGAGAGGCCAGGGCCTATTGAGCAATAAAGTCCCTTAAGCGTTTAAATGGTCCAGATGTCTTGTCCTGCCTCACTGGATGGGGTGAATTTCACCTTAAATATTTAAATTAGACAAAAATCAAACCCTGAGCTGTTGGGAGAGTGGAGCGGACACTAAAAATGGAAATTGTCCATCTCTCTAGAGGTTGGGATGCTGGTGTGACATGTACACGCTTTAGATGCAAATCTTTTACAAATCTTTTTATATTGCAACTGTTTGAGTTTATAGCAGATCTAAGGATCCTTTCCATTTAGTTTTACTGCATGCTAAGATATAATTTCCTCCTAAAGCTCTGTTGCATAACAGGTGTAATACAGTTATGACGTTATGACCTCTGGGTATCATTTAAAAGTGATCAAAAATCTTGGCTACCCTCCAAGTTCAGGAATCTGCATTTCTCCTGAAAGAATAGATGACACCACTAATGCCAGTAACAGTTCAAGAAAATGTTGTGTTTTAGTGGCCTCTTCTATTCTTGCAAGGAAAACTCAGAGCCTTGAATGCAAGGCTTAGCAGGTAAGTCAAAAGTAAATGAATCTCAGCTATTTTGTTTTAAAATATCATGCTCTGTGCATAATTGGTTTGTGGTTTTGGATCTTAAATATACTTTGTGTGTGTGTAAGATTTCCCATTCACCTTTCATAATGCTTCTGCTCAGAACTTACAACAGTCTGAATATCATTTTCCTATGTAAAAGCTCTGCTGTTCTGTTTAAAATGAATGCTAGTGGACTAAAGGCCATGTTCTGATCTTACACCAATTTTACACCCTTCCCAGGCTGTTGGCTTTATGGAGTTACTCCTGATTTACATGGAGGGGAGGGGATAAATGAAAGCATAATCAGACCCTATGTCTGTCAGGTTGCCATAGAAAAGTCCTTTTCATATGGAGGGGGGGAAAACCTCCTGATGTAGTGGCTCACCTTGCCAGGCAATGAGCTGAGCCCACCAGTATAACATGCAATCTGCTGTCTCTCTAACTCACCATCAAGAAGTTAAAATGGTTGAAAGGTGAAGCTTATAGTGCAGTGTCTAAAAATTATGACCCACTGGGATTACCAGAGTCCGTGACATTGTCTGCAGTTGTCCACTCAGTGCTTCCCAATCCCCTCCTGAATGGACTCCACTGACAGTAAATAAAAACTCCAGACACGCAAGTTATCATTAGAAGATGCTCTTGAACAGCGCTGGGCTTCACAAGAGTGATGCTTCTTTCTGTTTTCCATGCAAATGGGACTAGCAAATGCCAGCTTTGACAGACTGTGGGAAGGTAAAAAGAAAAAAAAATTAACCCAGGAGGAAAACAAACAAAAACAGACAATCTGACAGAGGAAACCTAGGGAAAAGGCTCTAATATCTCAGTAGCATGAGGATACAAATGGAGAATCTATTTTTTTTCTTCTGTAGAGATCTTCAGCTATTTCAGTTGATGACAAAGGAGAGAATAGTATTTTCAATTAATGAGCACTTATATAAGCTCTGTTCTGAATGCTAATTCATTGATTATTGGAAGCTGACAATGTCATTTTCTAATATTCCTGGGTTATTTTAGAACATAATTCTAATGTAAATAGTTCCATAGCTTTACTAATCTTATACATAATGCTGAGAAAGATCTGGGTGGCCATCAAGCAAATTTGGGTCTTTCTCTCTTTAACTTTAATATAGGAATGACCCATTTTATTATATCCTAGTGTATAGGAATTAGGTCCTATTTGTTCTGTTTTTTCCATCCTCTCCAGCAGAAGTTAGCCTAAAGTGTAACTAAAAAGATAATTTGTCTAACTTGCCTGAAAGTTCTTATCTGCATAGTTGGTTCACTATAGCTATAGGACTGACCAGACAGAAATAAAAAGGAAAATAAATGTTTTTGCTTATTACCCTAACCTTAAAATAGCAACATAAACATCATCCATCTTCTCATGCTATTTGTAACAGGTCACAATTTATTCTTTCTGCTAGAAAGAATAATAGGCTTTGATTCAAACTTCAGGTGTGTGATAATGGTTTTTAAAAGTTTATTATTAGAATTGATTGAAATTTGTCAAAAATTTGAGATTTTTTTAACAAAAACTGAAATTTTGTGAAAAATGTTCCCTATTTTTTCACTCAGTTCAACTTATTATTCTATTCATGATTAGACCTATATTCTAGAAGAGAGAGAAACTTATGGCGTTAGTCAGTTTTCATTAAGGTCTAACTCCATACCCACTTTTACTGAAGTGAATGCGTAAAATACCCATTGATTTAAGCGGGCGCAAAGTTGGACTCATTTCCTCCATTAAGGCTTAAACTGAGTAACAACCATGTATAGATCTCAAGATCTGGCCTATTAGAAGTCTTTTTCTGACTCAAGACATTAGGATTAATTAAACAATAAAAGATGTTGTATGATCATTCCCAGAGAATAAGTAAATAACTGCACTGGGGGAACCTTTGATGGGCTGTCAATGATGGAGGTGTCTGACATGAAAGTGAATGTGTTTAGGAAGCAGTGGTTTGGTGTGTATGCTCCATTGTTCTCTGAGTCTCATAGTTTTGGAGAAATCTATTGTAATGGGTGCAAATGTAACATCATGCCTATGAGTCGGTTGGCAGTAGTGCAGATTGACACTGAGTAATTGATGGACACTCTGTTTGACTACAATGGGAGTTGGATTGGAGCTAGGTGAGACCTTGCACTTCAGTGATATTATGTGCCTGATCTTTGTGTACCAAGAAAGCCAATGGGAAGTACCGTGTACAAAAAAGGAAAGCAGGATTAGGCCTTAGATTAGTGTGTGCTTTAGGATGTATCTTGTTCTTTAAGGACTTGCTCCTGCTCCCATTAAAAGCAGGACTGACTCCTAACTAAGTGGAGTGGTATGAAGCTTTTCATCGTATGAAGGATTTTCTTTCACGAGACTTGTAAAACGACTTTACTGAACAGTGATTTACTAAAGACCTGCTGCCTGGCAACTAAGATCATCTCCAAACGGTGATGGAGAACAGAGGTGATCAGCAATGGTGCTTTTAAATGCCTTTCTGATGAGAAAAGTAATTTAGGAGTCACTTCCATCTCAGTAATGAAAATTGAGCAAGGGAATAAGGGATTTCATTTTGTGAGTGAACTAACAATGCAAATATCAGGATTTTTAATTTAGGTTTAAATGGCATAATAGTTTCTCATTTTGATGCATCATTAGTCATATTGCTTGTTAATGAGGGATTCACATTTTTCCTTGGTTAGCTTTAGACCTTGATAGCGAAGTCTGATGAATGTGTAAATGTTTATGAATGTCTGTGAGGTAATTGCACCAGCTTTTCTTCTGCAACCAGGAAAAAAACAGACTTTTTCCGTCATATAAATAATGGTGCTGAGATGTGTTTTATGGGCTGTTGGAGGAAACTAGTTTTCATAGAACAAGTTACATTTTGAAACAAATTTTCTTTTAAAGAAAATTGTAGTAGGAAACGAAAACTGTTTAGTGCTCATGAGAGGGACTGGAGCAACAGCACTGAAAGTGTAGCCCAAATAGGTCAAGATTTTCTACTCTGCCCCACTAATGTGCCTTACCCTTGACCTGGAAAGACCATGACTGAGGTGGTTAAGTTTCTTTACTTCAAAGAGATGTTTGTATCCTGTGAAGAGAGAATTTGCTCAGACAGCACAGGGTTGTGCTTTAGAACCAGAGGTCTGCTGACTTCACATTTGCACTGATTTCAATGGGAGCTGGATTGGCCACTAGTATAGAAATGGATTTCTCCAAAACTATGAGACTCAGAGAGAACAATGGAGCAACAAGGAGCATGGACGCCCATTCACTGCTTCCTAAACACATTCATTTTCATATTGGACACTTCCGATGCTGACAGCCCATTGAAGGTTCTCTCACTGGTTTGTTCCATTTTTCTTTATCTAAAGGCCTGATTCAGCGTAGACTGAATTCAGTGGGCATCTTTACATTGATCTCCAGGGCATTGGATCAAACTCATGAACAGCAACCAAGCCTTGTCTAAACACAGAAGTTGCACCAGTTCGACTAAAATTGGTTTTAAAACTGATTTAGTTAAACAAATGCAAACCCCTGTGTGAAGTCTTGGTTTTATTGGTTTAATTTGTGCCTGTAAATTTACCAACACAAACTAAACTGCTATAAACCAGGTTGAAACCAGAATAGTGTCCATGCTGGGGTTTGCACCAATCTCTTTAATCAGTGTAAAATCACATCTTTAGCTAAATCAGTGCAACCTTGTGTGTAGACCAGGCAAAGGTGTGGTTGCCTTAAATTGTTTGGCAAGACGGATTGTCACAGGGCAGCTGGTACCTTTAAGTGAAGCATGCCCAGCTCTCCTGCACCAGAACAGGTGTCCCTAATTTGGCCAATAAAGGGGGTGAGGCAGCACCTGGGGCCATAAAGGATCAGGGAGAATTGGAAGTCAGAAGAGCAGCAAGAGGGGTTTGTTGTTTGATCTTCCCAAGCTAGAGAGAGCTTGAGTCAGAGGGCTGAAGGCAGAAAAGGGCGTTATCTGCTAACTCCCAAGCTGGAGAGCCACGGACCAGAGAGGGCTGAACAGGGGAGCAGAAGAGGAGCTTTCCTGCTGATGTCTCCATGCTGCAGAGTGGGAGCCAGAGGGCTGAAGGCAGGAGATCAGCAGAGGGGGTAGCCTGCTGGCTTCCAAGTAGGGTTGCCAGCATTCTAATTGCAGAAAACCAAACACCCTTGCCCTTCCTCTTCTCCAAGGCCCCCCTCCTGCTCACTCCATCCCCCCTCCCCCTGTCATTCGCTCTCCCCCACCCTTGCTCACTCGCTCAGTTTCAGCAGGCTGGGGCAGGGGATTTGTGGTGCAGGAGGGGGTGAGGACTCCGGATGGGAGTGTGGGCTCTGGGGTGGGGCCAGGGATGAGGGGTTTGGGGTGCAGGAGGGGATGGGGAGTGGGGCCCAGAGGTTCGGAGTGTGGGAGGGGGTTCCAGGATGGGGAAGGGGATTGGTGTGTGGGAGGGGGTATGGGCTCCGGGAGTGGACTTGGGGGTGCAGGTGCTGGGGTGGGGTCAGAAATGAGGGATTAAGGATGCAGGAGGGGGCTCTGGGCTGGAGTGCAGGGGTGTGAGGGCTCCGAGCTGGGGGTGCAGACCCTGGAGTGGGGCTGGGGATGATGGGGTTGGGGTGCAGGAAGTGGCTCGGGGCTGGGGCAGGGGGGTGGAGTGCGGGAGGGAGTACGGGCTCCAGTTTGGATGTGGGAGGGGGTTCTGAGCTGGGGCAGGGGGTTAGGACGCGGGAGAGGGGTCAAGATGTGGGTTCCGGGCAGCACTGACCTCAGGTGGCTCCTAGGAGCTGGAGGGATGGCCAGGGTCTCCGCATGCTGCCCCCGACAGCTCCCATTGGCTGTGGTTCCCCCCTGGCCTCCCCTCTACCTAGGAGCCAGAGGGACATGCTGGCTGCTTCCTGGGAGCCAGGCACGGAGCCTGCCAGGCACGGAGCCTGCCTGCCCCGCTGGAAGGGCTGGGGTTGCTGCCTGGCAGAAGGATAGGAGAGGACTGAAGAAGAGCCCAGATGTGGTGGAAGATGCTGCAGTATGGTATGTGTCATGTTGATGAACTAGAAGTTGTGGGATCTTAATTACTATATGCACTAAGGGGCGATACATGGACCATGTTTTGGGACTTTTGTATAGATACATGCACTGTGTTTTTCTGATAAACCAGCTCCAGGAGGGGTATTATTGAGCTAAGAGAGCCTTTTGTGGAGTGCTTAGGGGCCCGAAAGGGGAAGTGGGATACTAACCCTGGCATTAGAGCACCCAGCCGCAAGGGGGCACTCAGGGATAAGGGGGATTCATTCACAGGGATATTTTGACTTTGCTGTCAGTGCAACCTATAATGTGCTAGAGAAAATGAACACTCGGTCCAAAGTACCAGGACCCTTCTCAATGGGAACAACTCATCCTGTGGCAGGAGAGCAAGATGCTGAAAGATGGAAATAAATAGCCACAAACTGCCCATCTCTATCCATATTCACCCAGTCCCTTCCATGTTTCTGTCAGAAAGTGGCATGTTTCTATCAGTGCAGTTTGTAAGATTCCAATGCAGCAGAATTACATGTTGGGCCATGCACTCTAATCCCCAGAAAGGCATGCATTGTCCTTCTCGAATGGAGCATTACGGATAAGAGCCTATGCATCTGTGATCACTCTAGCACACAGCAAGGACTTTAAAATTCCTTGCTGTATTATTTGCCTTTGTTGTTCATATGCATGCACATATGCATGCGTTCGACTCAGATGCAGGAGGGAACAGTACACCATGCCCAAGGCAAAATGGAGGTCAATGGTAGATAACACAATGATGGGATCCAGCATTGAGACTGCTGGAGCCACATGTTCATATGTGATAGGTGAGGTGCAGGTTGTAGCTTGCACAGCCAGCCAGGACAAATCCTCTGTTTCAATATAATCAGCCAAGAAATGATTACACATTAGACCCATGGGACATTGTCATTAAACGAAGGTGTCTAGTCATCAGATTTGCATGGACTTATCCAACCCTTCTCCCCAAATACCTTCATCCCCAAACTTCCCCCATAAAAAGCCCAGGCATTTATACAGTGAAGTAAATCTTGCCCTCAGTTCCAAGTACATTTTACCTGCAAGAGTGAGCTACATTTCAAAACTTTGACTCTTCACTTGTGAAATGCAAAAGTTGGGAAAACAAGACAATAATCACTTCTGATGCCATCTTACAATTCCAAGGAAAGTGTCAATGCGCAATCTGTGCAAATCATTCTATGGCAACTGATTGCAAAGGGATAAAACACTTCTAGCAGGTTAAACTATGTGGCGGTAATATCCAGTTCTTTAGGATGACTGCCATGAAGACTAGTCATCTCTGCACAGCTTGTAAAAGGAATAGGGTTAGCGGGCTGTAGCTGTGAACTCATTAGATCACACTGGATCTTTTTAGAATAATATAGTATTTGAGAGCTGAGAAACAGAGATCACTGCAAGAAAAAAATCTCTACCGTCGATGATGAGAGAATGGTGTATGTGCTCTAAGGGAACCAAACTCTTCTGCTGTAAAATGGGACCAAGCAGTGGAATTACACCTACCACCAATGCTGCAGCGACAAGAGTTCTAAAGGTTTTGGCTATGGTCAACCCCTGGGATTACTGGGGTGTTTTTTTGTCTGAACAGTTGAGCTGATTTATGAGACATTCCATTAAATTTTATTGCACCAATGCTTTTTCTTTCGTTCTTTTGAAGTGGAAAATACCATTTTTGCAGCAAATGCAAGTCAAAACTCTTAATGGAGCATAAAAATCCCAAAGGTCATGCTTTTATAGCTTTAAAATGGAGGCCAATGCATTGCTTGATGCTCTTAAAATACATACAGTTAATGGCATGTTTATGGTAAAAAAATGATATAATCCCAGATCCTTCATTTCATCCTCAGGTACACTGGATCTTTTAAAAACAATTCTGCTGGTTCTAAGAGTATCTCATTTCAGATTCACCAAGTGAGGGAACTAGACTCCCTCGTAAGGGGACCATTATAATACATGATCATTTTATGGTCATTGTGGGTATTATTTTCCATAGAATGTGTGTGATTTATAACATTTATTTGTATGGCAAGTAGAATATTTATTCAAGACTCTGTGTGTACAAGAAATTCTTAGCCAAACAAGAGATGGTGTCACTTACATGCGAGAGCTTTCATAAATGAGAATGTCAATATTTAAAAACTCTTATTACTCTCCAATTGCCAATTGGAATATCCAATGTAGTCTTGAAAGGAGAGCTAGAAAATGGTTTCTGGTGTATTCTGATTGGTGCATGCTACTTTTCTTTTAATAATATATTTTTATTTTGCAGGAATGAGGTCAAAGTTCACGTGAATAATTTTCCCATCTGCATATTAATGTGGTTTTTTTTTTTTAGTGATCTGAAATTTAGATGAACTTGGGCAAAATAAAATATCTGCCCAGTCTATCTGTGAATGCTTAATTTCCAACCACTTGACAATGTTTTTCCAGAATTGAGGAAAGGAAAAGCATTTTAACTATGATGGTCATTTTAACCATTATTTCAGGGAAAAGTTATTATGGGAACAGGCCACAGAATAGAAATAGTCACAAGGAAAAGCTAATAAAGAATTCTAAGCAGAATGAGCATTATTTTCCTTCCTCTGGTTAATACAGATTGTCCTATTTTCTCTCTTTGTCTTTGCAGCAATCTAGCTCTGGGGATTTGAGGACTCTAAGAAAAGGGTTATCCCCGTACCACTCTGAGTCACAGCTGTCATCACTGCCGCAGTATCAGGATGCCATGCAAAATGTAAGAGCCATTTAGCTACCTGGTGTATTTATACAAACAAGAATCTTAAATTTCTGAGAAGAGAGAGAGCCTGAGCTCAGGCATGAATGCAGATATCTGGCAGGTTGATAGGTCGTCCCTTCAGAACCAAATTCTACCCTGAAATCAATGGTGTGAAACAGAATAAAATCTGGCCGTTTATCACAAGATTTATTCAATTTTACAGGTTGCAGATTTCCAGAGACACAGGAAAGTCTGGAAACATTGATCTTAACCCATGAAATGTTGAGTTCAGGATTTTTCTAATTGAGGTTTCTCAGATAACTCAGAAACCTGTCACTAAGTGCCTATCTGAAAACAAAGGGGGTCCAATCGAATCTGATGCTTCTTTTCTTAAACTCTTATGGTCCATGTCAAAAAATCTGACGTTGGATAAGACAAAAGACGTTGCCGGGTTTCTAACAATTAGTAGTCAGGATCTGTTGTGCTCAAGTTCTTGGTGCTTTCTGTTTACCCTATGCTGCTTCTGTACAGCAAGTAAGTTTATGTAACAAGATGGCCCTGCTCTGCTTCCTCTAAAATGATAAAGGAGGTGAAAAGTCTTGAGTTTGCTAAACAATATGCTGTTATCTTCCTGGTTCCTCCTTTCAGTCCACAACACCCACTAATTATTGTGCAAAATGTAGCTGATGAGAACATACCAAACCATCCTTTATGCTCATCTTCCAAAAAGATGGAGGCACCTCTGAATGTTATACTTGTTCAGTTATATCGCGGTGAGGATTACTCAGCACGGGTAGCTCCGGTGGTGTCCAGACACATGCTGGCTGTAAAGTGATGTGAAATTGATCCAGGGTCTGATTCGGACATTGTGCTGATCATAGCTTTGAGTGCTCATTACTTTTCAGGATTCATACATTCCAAGTCCACAAGGGACCATTGTAAGCATCTAGTTTGACCTCCTGTATAACACAGGCCATAGAACGTCTCCAAAAATAATTCCTAGAGCATAACCTTTAGAAAAACATCAAGTCTTGATTTGAAAATTGTCAGTGATGGAGAATCCACCATGACTCTTGGTTAATTGTTCCAGTAGTTGATTACCTTCACTGTTAAAATTTTATGTCTTATTTCCAAGCTGAATTTGACTAGCTTCAACTTCCAGACAGTGGATTGTGTTATATATCTTTCTCTGTTAGACTGAAGAGCCTATTATTAAATATTTGTTTCCCATGTAGGTTCTTATAGACTATAACCAAGTCATCTCTTAATCTTCTCTTTGTTAAGCTAAATAGAGTGAGCTCCCTGAGTCTGTTGCTACAAGGCAGGTTTTCTAATCCTTTAATCGTTCGTGTGGCTCTTCTCTGAATCCTCTCCAATGTATCGACATCCTTCTTCAGTTGTTGACACCAGAACCGCACACAGTATTCCATCAGTGGTCTCACCATTGCAAAATACAGAGGTAAAATACCCTCTAGTCCCACTCAAGATTCTCCAGTCTATGCATCCAAGGATGCTATGGGAGTTGGAGTTTGGGAGGCAGGAGTCTGGGGAGTCTCCTAGATTTTTTTATGGACACTGTTAAGTGGTATGGATTTTCTATTATATATTCTGTCTATTCCTGCATAGGGAGGCTGGGATGGGGATTTTAAAAAATATATATATCTAAATCAGTTTAAAAAGAATAAATAATAACTACTCCAGGTACTGGCTTGCTGTATAATAAGGTGGCTGAGGCACAGGTCTGGGAGTCAGGAAATCTGGGTTCTCTTCAAGACACTCTCTCCTGTGTGAATTTGTGCAAGTTATTTCACCTCTCTGTGCCTCCATTTCCTCAGCTATAAAAGAGGAGAAATAATTACCAACGCCATGGAGGTGTTTTTAAGGCTTAATTCTTTGCTTAAGGAGCTTTTGACGGACTATGTTACATAGGTGCAAGGCATTATTATTTAATTTTTGGAATGCTATTTCATTTGTTAAGGGATTGCTCAAGAGTTCATCTGTTATGGTCAGATGTCTTCTCCAGAATTAATCTAATAATGAATTAGGATTGTGAGATGTAATTTGAGTTGCCCATACGTGGTAACTCCTCATGTCTGTCTTTTTTTTAAATTGATAGTATAAATATGCTTAATCGTTGTGTTCCTTTAATACTCTGCTGAACAAACGTTTGCCTCTTAGGGATGGGGCAGAAGATATCATGGCATTTAAGCAATTCAGTTTCTAACGGTGTGAAATCTCACTTGCAGGTTTTTGGTGTATGAGCTTTCACTGAGTCAGGTGTTTGTACCAAAGCTAAAGATAAACTCTAGGGGCGAGGTGCTGCACAGAACTCACAATCCAAGGGGATGGAGAGCTAAGATGGCTTTTGCTCCTCAGCACTGTCCTAGTTTACACAGCTCTGGGAGTCTGTCTAAGTTACAGCAGCCTCCTGCAACTCCCCTAGGGATGAAGCACTTCCCAGAATCTCTGCAGCACTGCATGCTATGGCCCCACCCCAACACAACCCTCCCACCTAAAGCTCCACTCCAGGCACGTCCTCAATGGCCTTCTTCCACAGTATTTGTACTAGGAGAATCCTCCATTGGCAGAACCCAGGGCTTTGGAGTAACTTTACACCACCCTGGCCCTTTTATCCAGAGTAAAGGGGCCAGAGCAGGGAGAAGGTTCTCAGTCTAGAGATTTTGAAGTATGCTAAATAGCTCTTGTAATGGGTCAGCATAATAGTTTATTCCTGTAAATAAAACCCGATCTGTGACAATAATGCTTAACATGGGTAGACTATCTCTGCTGGGCTGACAAATTATAGCAGGCAAAGTGCCATTGTATTATTGTTGGGATTGGAGAATAGGAAACTTTAAGGATCCTATTTAAATTGGTGGAAGCAGGAAGCTACTTTTTGGTGTTGTTTCTTTGGGGAGATTGAGAAAAGGCCCTGTAAAACTAATATGCCACTACAAGAGAGGCCCATGCTTATAACTATCAACCCCCAATGTATGGCTTTGAACCTTTAGACCACACTTGGGTCAGGTTTTCAAGTTTTTCTTCAGAACCATAAGGCTAGAAACATCCTTTTTTTTTCTTTTTTTTAAAGTAAGTGGAGATTCTCACATCCACATGAGTCCAGCAGCTGGGGTTTTAAGAAAAACACAATTTTTTCTGATACTAATAATAAAAACGCAAGAGTTGGCAACACTGGGAAATCTTCTAATTGTAAGCCGGAGGCAGGAGAGAAGTGGTGGTGCTTTTCCAAGCTCTGCTCATCAAAGAAGCTGTGCCTACTCTCAGCAGATTGTGCAGCTGTTCAGAATGACTATGGTCTCTGTGCGCCGTTGGGCTCCTTGCAGAGGGTGGGGCAAGGAGGGGAAGAGTAAGTGGTGCTCTCCAGGATGCCAACCACTGTGGCACCAAGATGAGACCTCACTCATTTTTGCGACCAGATTGTGACCTTCCCTTTCCTTTCTTACCTGGGGACAAAAGAATTAACAATATTACATTGAAATTATAATCACTGGGCATCTGAGTTCACACCTCACTGAGGTGAATGGGGCAGTCCACACCCCTCAGAGCTGTTGTTCTATGCCCTTTGCAGACTCATCTCTGTTTCAGGTTCATTTAGTTCCCATTTTGTTAAGGTTTTCTTTGCAGCCATAACAGCTAGGCTTGCTTTTTATTAAAATGAAAGCTGAGATCCTGGAGACCAAGAGAGTAGTTTTAGAAAAGTGCCGGTACGGCATACAGAGCATGTATTGGCTGTTTCTGAGCCTGCAATATAAGATTCTGGATGCAGTTCTCACCTTTTAAATAAGAGAACACTGCTTCAGAGCTCTGTAGCATGAGTGCACAGCACTCAAGCATCCAGGCCTCTTTCATATTGCTTTTTACAAATGAATACCTAAAAGAAGAAGAGGTAACTTAATACCAGTCTAGACTCACATTCCTACAAATTCAGGTGTCTTTACTCCAGCAACTTCAAACCCCAATTTAGAGGGGCCAGTTATTGGGGTTTGCTATGTTTTTTACAGCCTTCTCAGAGGTATCATCTTACTATTCAGAGCAAATGCTACAGTAATAAAAAGGACTCATCCCTCCGTAATGGGGTACACTCACCTCTCATGAGCACCCGTTGGCCAAGTGTGTGTGCCTGCCCTCTTTCTCTCAGATTGTCCCTGCTCTGGGATAGAGCAGTGCCCCAGGGCTCCCTCCCTGGAGACAATGTCTTCACCCTCTTGGGCTTCCTGGCTACAGCTCTCCAGCTGGGCCACTATAGTTCAGTTTCCTCTCTGGGGTGCCTTAGTGTCTAGGGCACTTCCCCATGGCCCCGCACCATCTTCACCCTTACCTCAGGGCCTTCTCTTAATGGAGTCCCAGCAACCAGCTCAACGCTCCTTCTCGCTCTCCCCAACTTCTGGCAGTGCTGCCCTGTCCAGGGTTCTGTAGTTCCATCAGCCAGCCACACTTTTACAGCTCCAGCAAGGAACTGAACTCCTGCTGGCCCTGAAGCTCTTCTTATACTAGGCTTCTGGACCCTGATTGGCTGTGGGACACAGCCACTTGAGGCAGCTTAGAGGACCCTCTCCACTGCCCTTTATTGGGGTGGGGTGTGGCAGTGCCATGCGGCCTCCAGAAGGGGGTCTCAGAGGGTCTGGTATACCCCGTCACACCCCCTTTCTGTAATTTTGATTGTGTTGAATCTGGGAAAGTATAAAATATTAGGAAAATATATCAGTTTGTAGAGGTTCTTTCAGAATTAGAATAAAATTCCTAAATCACTGTAATTATTTTGAGCTTTTCTAGCAATCTGGCAATAAAATAAAATGTGTTGGTGTATCTGTGTGAGTATACATGTATATTCTGCAGTAATAGTAATGGGGGACTTTAACTACCCAGACATCTGTTGGAAAAATAATATGGCAAAAAACAAAATTTCCAGTAACTTCTTGGAGTGTATTGTGGGCAACTTTTTGTTCCAGGAAATGGAGAATGTAACCAGGGAGACAGTTGTTTTATACTTGATTCTG